CCCAATAAGCAACAGGTGGTTGTGATGCATTGTCTTTATAGGGCCTTAACTATTTTGAGTCCATATTTTAGGCGATCCAGTTGTCCCATATTTCAACTGCTTGGTATCAGAGGGATTTCCATCGGTCTACTTATCTTGTGTATTCCTTGAACACCAAGATTTCTTAGCTTGAGACTATCCTTTTGTTGAAAAGCTTGACAACAAGTACATGCTAACATATTAATAGCAGTATTCTTTGTGGTAGTAAAGAATTGGAAATCAAATGGGGAGTCATTTCAATATCAATTTTCGCCAGTTGGAGGATGGCTGAAAAAGACCTGCTGTGTGAATGTAGTGTAACTCAAGTCGAGTTCTGTGGTTTGTTTCTAGAAGAGCTTCTCTGAGCTGACAACTTAGGGAGGCCTCTTTGTATTAATTGTACTGTTGGTTGTGAATCTCTACATATTCTCTGTCTTCTGATTCTAAAGCAGAACTACAGCACTACTACTCATCTCTGACAGGTAGCTTCCAATTTGATGGTGGTCACAAAATGTCAATGGTTTGTTGTCAGTCCATACTTGAAGCTGAGCTTCAGGATGTATAATTCCCCCCTTTAGTGTGCTAGTTCATTTTTGCCTCTCCCCTCCTTTTTCTTCTCCATGAAAGGGGACCAGGGCTTGTCGGAGAACTTGCTGAGATAGGACGCCATTCCCTCTGTTTTCTAGTTCCTCATTTTTTTATGACGCTTTATACTTTACAAAGGGTTTCCCATAAAACAACCCAGTGAAGCAAGAAGTACAAGTATTATTGTGTACTTGTATACAATATGATGAGGAAAATGAGGCTTGGAAGAGTAATGAGAATTGCCCAAGATCACATTGTTAGTGTGATGTGGGAAGTGGGGGTGGAACTGGGAATAGAACCCAGGTCCTTTGACTGACTCCAAATTCAATGTCCTTTCTACTCTCCCCACAATACTAAATTGTCTTGTATCTTTCATACAGCTTCTGCAGTGACATCTTAGCTTGTGAAGAAATGACCTTACTTCCTTATTTCTGCAGGACTTCAGAGAAAAAAAACATGCCCATCTGTTTTGATCTCTCCTTGCACAAAAAGAGGGCATATGGTGCTTGGAGATTTCATGGATACTAAATATGAAATTCCCTCTCACTCACATTGATTCATGGGTAAATGAGGCAAGCATAAGTCAGGCCATGCCTTAGGGCCATTTGCTTGCATTAAGTTCCACTTGATATAAAGAAAAGGGATGGTCATGTTCATCATTTTTTTTTTGTTTGTTTACAAAGCATACTCTCTGGGCAGGCTGAAAAAGGGAAGCATCTGTTGGTCACCTATCTCTTTCCTTATAGGGCTAGGGAGTAGGTTCCATAGGTTCAACCTTACTTATCCTGGGTCAGCAGACTAGTCTCCAATTCTGTACCTCAAACCCTGATCCCTCTTCTCAGCTCTAGCTCAGCATTCTCAGCCGCCTTGTGAATGCTTCTACTTGTTTATACAGCTATCCCCTCAGACTCAATGTGTTTTATGCCTCAAGTAGTCCCTTGAGGGCAAAGGTTGTTAAGTTTTTGTATCTCAAGAACCTTACATGTAGTACATACTTTAAAAACTTGTTAAATTGAATCAACCAACACAAATATTCAAGACTAAGACTCTATCCCAATTGGATGAATGGTCAAAGAATATTGAACCTATCTTTCCCCTCCTTCAATCACCAAGCATTGATTAATTTAAGTGTTTACTATATGCTAGACATTTTGTTAAAGTGTTGGAATAATACTGTTCCTGATCTCAAAGAACTCACATTCTTATCAGGGGAGAAAACATACAAATAACTATAAATGTACAGCATTTACAGAATTTATTATAGTGCTGAATTTACAATAGAGTAAATGGAATGTAATCTGGGAGGGTAGACACTAGCGATGTTGGGTGGGAGGGAACCTGTGAAAGGTTGCCTTCAGAAAGTCATGGAAGCCAGTGGGCTGAAGGAAGGAAGAAGAGAATTCCAGGCACAGGGGACAGTTGGTGAAAAGATATAGGGTTAGGAGATGGAATATTCTATTTGAGGAACAGTAAGAAGACCAGTGTCTTAGGATCATAGAGTAAGTGGAAGGGAGTAAAATATAAAAGACGAAAAAGATATAAAAGGATTAGAGGATTTTGTTTTTTATCTGGAAGTAACAGGGATCTATTGGAGTCTATGGGGTGAGATGGAGGGAAAGCAGGGCCTTAGGAATGTGCATTTGAATGGGAGATGGACAGGAGTGGGGAGACTTGAGGCAGGGAGATCAACCAGGAGATTAGTATGTAGTCCAGGCTTGTGGTGATGAGAACCTGTACACAAGTGATGGTTGTACAAAAGTGGAGAAAAGAGAATGTATACAAAGAGATGTTGTGAAGGTAGAAAGTACAAGACTTAGAAATAGATTAGAGATGTGGGGTGAGTACAAGAGAGGATGACCTAGGGTTCCCCTGACAGTAATGGGGAAGGTCAGAAGAATAGACGGTTTAGGGAAAAGATAATGAGTTCTGTTTTGAACATGTAAAATGTGAAATGTCTATGGGAAATCTAGCTCATTTTGTGTATTAGGCAGCTGGTGATGTGAGATTGGAGGTCAGGACTGGATATAAAGATCTGGGAATTATCTATTCTGAGTTCAACTCTAGCCTCAGACATTTACCAGCTGTGTGACCCTGGGAAAGTCATTTGTCTGTCTCACTTTCCACATCTGTAAAATGGGAATAATAATGGTACTGTAACTCTCAGGGTTGTGAGGATCAAATGAGATTATAATTGCAAAGCACTTAGCACAGTGCCTGGCACATAGTGAGCGGTATATAAATGTTAGCTATTGTTATTACAATGATTATTATCTGCATAGAGATATTCAAATCTACTGGAGATGATGAGATCATCAAGTGAAATAGAGTAAGAAGAGAAGAGAACCCTTAAACCTATTCTTCCTCTTTTTTTTCCACTCTATTTTTCTCAAAGGCAACTGTTATTCAGGTGCATTGGCACGATCATGCCTTGGCATGATTTTTGATTTTCTCTTTCTCTCACCCCAAATTGAGTTGGTTCTGCTCCCAAAATATATCTCACATTTGTCTGTTCTTGCAGTTCTAATATTACTATTGTCTAATTATCTTACTATGTCTAATCTTACTATTGTCACCATACAACAGCCACTTGTTGCTATCTGCATGAACTATTGTAATAGCCCCCTAACTGGTCTGTTTCTTTCTAATTTCTTCCTTCAGTTAATATTTTACACTTTTGCCAGATTAATCTTCCTATAGCACTTCCTTGATCATACCATTCTTCTGATCAAAAGCCTTCAATTTCTCCCCATTTCTAACTAGATAAGTCTAAACTCCTTAGCCTGGCATTAAAGGACTTTCACAGTCTATTACCACACTACTTTTTCAGTCTTTCTCTGCCTCAGTCAAACATGGTTACTTGCCATTCTTCATATAAGCTTTGTGCTTTTCTCCCTCTGTGCCTTTGTGACCTATGCTTGCTACCTGCTACCCTTCTCTACCTGTTGAAATCCTACCCATCCTTTGAGATCTGATTAAAATGCCTCCACTTCCATAAAGCCTTTTTTGATATTTTATGTATACACATATGTTTGTGTATAGGATTGTATATATAGTGACAATTGATGTTTATCAGTTATTCAGAATTTGGGTTCCTTTTCTGGTTATTGTGTACATTTTTCTTTTGATTCTGCTTATTTCATTTCCCCCCTATTCATAGAATTCTTCCCATGTTACTCTGAATTCCTCATATTCATTATTTCTTCCTGCACAATAATGCAGTTACATTGGATCCAATGCATATTATATCGACATATCATAGTTTTTTCAGCTATTTCCCAATTGATGGGCACCTGTTTTTTATTTTTTTAAATTTATTTTTTTATTTTTTTGCTACCACAAAGAGTTCTGCTACTGCATTTTTTGGCATATGTTGGACCTTCGTTTCCGTCTTTGATCTCTTTCTTTGATGCAGTAATTGTAGCTTTTATTTTTAATTCAATTCATAAATATACTCTACCGTGTAATAGGGTTATGTAGTCCACTAGGTTACTTGATTTGGGTAGAATTCCCTTAGCAAAATATAGCAAACTGGTTCATATATATCAATACTTTAATATTTCCTCTTGTAGCTCTCAAGACTTTCCATTTACTTATGTCCACCCTTTCTACACACATCTTTAGAAACCCCTTTCATTTTACTGATGACGATTTTGCTTTGTAGTTGTCATGTACCTATGTTCCATTTTTGTTTTGCAGTTACTTGTGTGCATATTGGATTTTTCTTCTATTAGAGTGTCAGCTCAACACCACTGCAGTGGAGAGCACCTTACTGAATCTTTATTAACGTCACCCCGTAGCACAGTGTTCTATGCTCAGATGCTTCATAATGACTACTGTTGTTATTGTTATTGTGGCTGTGGTTCATGATGATGATGAAATTGCTGGCGCTGGGAGAGAAGTGACTTACTCCTGGTCACACAGATTGTTAGTGGCAGTCATTAAACAAGTCTTTCGACTACAGATTCATTTCCTTCCACAGATGCTAATCAGTTGCTCAAACTCTTCCTATTGCTAATTTTTTTCTCTTCTTGTTTTTTAAATGTATTTTCTTTTCTATTTAGTCAACTCGATTGTTTTCTGGAACCGATTAAGGAAGCGGCCGTAGAGTGTCTAAAACGAAAGGGAAGACATCCCTTTACAAAGATGGCAGGCTGCATCCGCCCTCTACCAAGATGGAGGTTGGGCAGGCGGAGTCCTTCCAGAGCACTCACATGACATTGATAGTCCCGCCCCTCCCCCGCCCCGCACTGGTTTCCCCCACCCGCCTGCGATCTTGATTCCGGATTGGTCCGGTTCCAGCACCTCTAGCCGGCCTGGTTGTGGGGTCGGCAACGGACTCTCGCCACTTCCGGTGGGGAGGGGCGGTTGGGGTAGAAGGCTTAGTGAACGGCTCCGGGGGAAAGAGCGAGCGGGATGCGCTTGGGGACGGTACCGGCGCCGGAACTCCGGACAGCTCGGCGGCGTCTCCCTTAGCCGGGCAGCGAGCTGAACGCCACGGCCACAGAGCTCTGCTCCCCAGCTCCGCGTCCTCGGGAGCCCCGCAGGGACCCCGTTCGGGCCCGCCCCCTCCCTCGAGACCTGGACTTGAGCCTCCACGGGCCGCTCGGCTTGTAGGCCCGTGGGCCCCGGGGCCTCGGCCGGCCGCTTCCGCCGCCTCGGGAAGGGAGAGCTTTCCTGCTGCCCGCCGCCAGCCGGCGCGGACCGGACCTCGGCGGGGAGGAGCTCGGCAGGCAGGGCCCTGCTCCGGCCGAAGCTAGGCCAGCTAGGGAGCGGCAGGAGCAGGATCGAGGGCCGCTTCTGGCTCGGGGAAAGTCCCCCCCCCCCACCGGGCCGCGGCCCTCGGCTTTTGCCAGGGTGGGGGCCGCGCCAGCCTCCGGGATTGATGTTTCCCAGTGTTTTTTCAGTCTGACTTTGGGGGCGGTGGGCGTGTAGGTTTTGATGAATTTTTCTGGGGGTTCCAATGGTCTCCTGATGTACCAGGATGTGGGATTGAGGAGGGCGTCCGTATTTTAAAGGGTCTGGGGTATGTTTTGAGGAGTCGGTGGGGGGGGAATAGTATCTAATTTAATTTGGATGGGTGGGGGAATTCCCGGACTTGCCTTGGACCATGACATGAACTGTGAGAGGGGGACCCTGAAGCTCAAGAGTCAAATCACCTGAAAGGCCTCCTGGCCAACATGGTAAGTTGTGCAGCATCAACCCACTGAATGGGGGTGGGGGAGGGAACCCTAGTGTGCTGAACCATCAGTCTTCTGTGACACAACAGGGGGAGGGGAGTGGTGTGTGCAGAGCATGCCTGGTGACACACATGCGTGCAGGAGAGCAGCATAACGCAGAGCCTTTTCTTTGGGCTGTGTAAAATATAGCTGGGAAGATGGTGATCTGTGTATCTATGTTTGGTAGGGAAAAGGATTCGCTGTAATCTTTGAGTCATAAGCAGGGATAGACCCGAACCATTTGATCATTAGCATCTGCAGACATGTATTGAGCTTCTACTACATTGAAATAGGGTTTCTATCTGCCTTCAGGGAGGTTGCATTCTATTTGGATAAATGCATAAGTGGTTTTGAGTGGACAGATGTTCAGTGCTGCATCCCTAGAAACTTGACACTCAATCTTTCCACTCTATTGACTGAGCTCTCCAAGCACCCACCTACGTTTGAGGGTTTTGTTCTAATGTAAGGGATTGGAAGGGCGACTACCTTTTGCGTAATTGTATAAATGTGAAATACTTGCCGCCTTGATCCTGATTTGCCCCAGAAGTCAAGGGATTTGTTCTTAAAACTGAAACCTTTGATACACAGGAGGAGTTTGCGGTGATGCTGAGACTAATAGAGCATGCTAGCCTTCTAACAGTCTTTTGCTTATGTCACTGACACAAAAGAGAGGTTGCTGGGAATGGAGGTGCCCAGTGTTTTAGGATCCATGTGCCTGTTTCAGTCCCTGGTCAGTGGCCTCTACTCAATGCCTTCCCTCCATTCCCCCTCTCAGGACCCATGAGACAGAGTGATAGTTACCCATGGAAGGCAAGAAAACAAGTGGATCCTTTCTGGGGAGTCTGTGGATATCTTTTCCAATTACTGCCCTCCCCATCTTTTTTGTGAAATGACAAGGCTTCAATATGTGTTTCTTTCAAAGACCTTCCCTTTTATTATATATCTTATTAAAATTAAGAACAGTTTTAAAATTTAAAAATTATCAAGAATGCTCGAACCTTTCTTTAATACAGAGTATTTCAAAACTTAAAACTGCACTAAGACTTTTGGGGCACTCTACATTTTTTCTAAAGTTTTGTCTATCATACATAAGACTGTATAAGGTTGAAGATAGACTGATCAGTTTTTATTTTAATTTGTTTCAATTGTATTAGATTATGTCTCTTAAGTTTTCTAGGGTTAGTATATCTTGTCTTGATTTGCAAACTTAGATGAAGAAAATATAATTTACTAGCATATTGGGTCACTTCAGTCTTATTTTCTGTACTTTTTCTCAAAATAAATATTACTGCTGTGTGGTTTTTGGTAATATGGTAAATGCCCGTGCTCCCCTGAAGGACTTGGCTAAACTGAAGTTCGTGCAGACATGGATTGCGTATTTAATGTGTTTTAACACTGAACAAAACATTATGAATGAAAAGTCTTATGTTATCAAGAAATTTCTTTTTTTGCATAGCTTCTACTGACCATTGCTGTGTATGGTCCTTTGTTACTAAGGCAAAACTAGGGCTGAAATTGCTTAATGCTTTTCTTGCTGCTTGCATGATGGTTTGGATATTGCTATTTATAGTAGCTGATTTATTTGGTTGTTGGTAATTTTGGTGAGTGATGCAGAAAAGTGTAAAACATATTCTGTAGAACAGTAAAGCCAGATCATCTAGTTCAGTCCCCCTATTTTACAGACAAGATACCATAATCAACAGAGAGAAAATTATTTGCTTATAGTTGAAATAGTTGAATAGCTAAAGTAGTGGCCAGCCTGGACTAGAACTCATATTTTTCAACTAAGTCCAGTCATTGTTCTTTCCTGATACAAAAGTGATTGAGAATGTTTTGAATGCTGAAAATTCAAATGACAGTAATAATAAAAGAAATGTTAGTGGGGACAACAGAACTGAAGATTTTATGCCATATTTTAGCCCATATTTTAGGTTTTCCATTTATATATCTTGTATTCTCCTTTTATGAGAAAGAAGAGCTGATACTAGCAACTGCTTTCCCCCCAAAAACCAAAAACAACAAAAAACCAAAAACACTACATTAAGGTGAGCTATGCTACAGGTTTAGCCAAACCTTCTGTATTTACAGTATTATACAATAATTGAGCTACATGATGATTTCTTTGGTCTTGAAATGCCTTTTGAATCAGAGAAAAATTTACTTGCATTTATTATATTTTTAGATTTAAGAATATTTTTCATATTCTTTATTCTTTTTTTGGGGGGGTGAGGAAATGGAGTTAAGTGACTTGCTGAAGGTCACCCAGCTAGTGAGTATCATGTGTCTGATGCTGGATTTGAACTCAGGTCCTTCTCTCTCCAGGGCCGGTGCTCTATCCATTGCGCCACCTAACTACCCCCCATATTCTTTAAAAATTGATGAATTGTATAATATTTATAGTCATTTCCAATTAAACATTTGTACGTTCCTTTCTCAGCCATTAAGGAGTTCAGTGTAGGTAAATCTAAAGCTACCTATTCCTTAGGTCAGATAGGAGTCAAGGTCTAAGGGCAAGACAGAGAAAAGTATGATATACTTAGATCAGAAGGAAAATACCATAGTTTGTGGCTAGGAGCTAGCCTTCCTAGTAGTAACCTGTCAGTATTATTTACAGCTACAGATTAAGGTGCTTCCCTGTAGATCATCTGGAAGTAATAACATAAAATATAATCATGAAAAATAATCTGTGTATCTATTATGATACCTATTATGAAAAGCACTGAGCTTGTCATTTATGCACATTAGACAAAGAGCTTAGAGAGTACTATAGTAATGAATCAGAAGGGTTCCTTAATGAACCCTAGAAAAAAGGAGAAGTTCAGAGTAAACAAATGTCATTGTTTATCTGTCAGTGTCTGAGCAACAGGGTATACTCTTCGAGCTGATTTGATCTTCATTCTTTTCACAGAAGTAGTCCTAGAATAAAGAAGGTCAGTAATAGTTTTCACATTTTCACATTTCAGTAGCACTTGAATGTTTGTAGAGTATTTCCCCCTAACAACCCACTGAGTGTGAATGTTACTTACATTTTACAGAGGAAGAAACTGAATCTTTGAGAGGTTGAGTGACTTGCCTCAGGTTATACAGCTAAGTGTGTCTGAGGTGGGATTCAAACTCAGGTCTTTGTGAATCCAAGTCTGACATTCTTCACTATGTCATTGTATTTGTCTCTCATTTACATTATCTCAGCTTGATTGAAGTTGAGATCCCTTGAGAATATCTATCTCCATTACTTTGCTACTGTGATAAGTAATCTTATCATTTAGTTCCCTGGGTGGATTTACTCCCTGGGAAGGAAATGCATTTTGTAAATGACCAGTCCTAGTTCTTGAGATAGATATATCATCACAAATGAAAAAAAAAGGTAGTCTAGTTTAGAAATCAACATCTTGGGAATTTGGTAATTTTTTTTGATATTAACTCCTTGAGAGTAGGGACTGTTTGTTTTTGTATCCCCAGTCTGGCATTTTTATAAGGTGCTTACTAAATCTTACCTGAGCACCATACCAAACTGAGGGTCCACTATTCCCTTATTCATCACATCACTTGACTTATTAAAAAAAGTTTTAAAAAATGTTTTATTGATGCTTTTTCGGACATTGAACCCAAAGAGTATTGTTGAGCAAAATGAACCAATGCATTGGCCATGTTTGACAGCCTTTGTCCCATTTTGCACTTGAATCCATCACTTCTCAGATGAGGGAGACAGGTTTCATCTTTAGTCCTTTGGAATCAGGATTGGTCATTGCATTGATTTCATTGTTATTTTGTTTTACATCAGTGCGTGGTACCGTGGAAATAATACTGGGGCTGGATTCAGAGCACCTGGGTTCAAAACCCAACTCTGACGTGTATTGCCAGACCTTGGGCAAGTTAATTTCCCTCTCTGTATTTCCTTTTCTGTAAGAAGAGGATTTTGAATTTAGCCTCTGAGTTCCTTCTAGAATATTAAGTCTATGATTGACTGTGGTTTTGTATATATTATCCTTTTGTTTCCACTTACTTTGCTTGACTTCAGTTCATATAAATTTTTCTAATTTTGTCTTAAATCTTCACGATTTATTGTTTCTTACGGTACTATGTCACTTCATTACATTCATATGTTTAGCCATTCTCCAGTTGATGAATAGCTACTTTTGCCAGGTTTTGCTACCACAAAAAATGTTGTTTTCAATATTTTTGTATATGTGGGACCTTCCTCTTTGAACACCTTGGGGTGTTCAATACTAGTAGAGGTATTGCTAGGTCAAAGGCTATGTACAGTTCTATACAATACTTATAGTTAAAATTTTTTTTCTAAAATTGTTGGATCAATTCAATACTATCACCAGTGTATTAGTTTGTCTTCTTATAGCCCTCCAACAATTATGATTTTTCCAATTTTGTTGTCTTTTTAAGGGTTATGTGAGATGAAAGCTCACTTATTTTTATATACATTTCTCTTATTAGTGGTTTGGAACAGTCTTCATATACTTATTGATGGTTTATATTTTTTCATTTGAAAGCTATTCATATTCTTTGACTACTTAGCTATTGGGGAATGACTCAGTTTTATGTATTTGTATCAATTCTCTGTTTATCTTGGATATCAGACCTTTATCAGAAATAGCTGATGCGAAGATTTTTTTAGTTGACAATTTCTCTTGTTCAAATTGTTTTGATTTTGTTTCCACAAAAAGATTTTAAACTTAAGTAATATATATCTATACATATAAACATATACTATACTATATTTATATATTTATTTAATATACAAATTAAATATAAAATATAAAATGTATATCTGTTTTGTCTTTATGATCACATGTCTATTTCTTGTTTAAGGATTTTCCCCAACTATAGATCTGAAAGGTACCTCCTTAAATTCTTCTTTAACATATTTTTATACTATGACCATTTAAGTTAATATCATCCATTTATAGCCTGTTTTGGAATATGGCATAAGATGTTACATCCTCATTTCTTTCAAACTTTTCCAGTTTTCTCATAAATTCCTTTAAAATATGGAGTTTTTGTTAGGGTATTTCATATTCTTGGATTTATTGAACACTAAGCAACTATTTAGTTGCTCACCGAATTCACAGACTTATATTTTGTGCCTAGACACAGAGGAATCAGACTGATATGTTTACTTTATTTAGCTGAAAGAAGAGGTCAAAACTTAATGAGGATGGTGAGTTAGTATGTCAAAGTGAAATAAGTATGGGGCTAAGTACGGGTGGTGTTAAAACCCATTTTCAGTACTTAGCTTTGTGACTACATATCTCTGCATGTCTTTGGACTTCAGTTTCCTCATCCATTTAGGGGTTTGAATTAGATGGTCTTGTTGAAAGCCTAGGAGTTGGTGATTCTGTGATCTAGCAATGCCTGCAGCTGACAAGCTCCTTCCCAGTTTTTTTTTTTAGTTGGGCAGTACGAGTTAAGTGACTTGCCCAGAGTCACATAGCTAGTAAGTGTTATGTGTTTGAGGCCGGATTTGAACTCAGGTCCTCCTGAATCCAGGGCCAGTACTCTATCCGTTTCGACACCTACCTGCCCCCTGTCCTTCCCAGTTTTTGACACTAGAAAAGGTTATTAACATAGCTGATAGAAGATTAACTTTAGAGGCATCTATTTAAAAGAATAGGTGTCTCATGTCTGGGAGGCACTCTTTGCTCAGGTGCTGTAAGTGTGGGAACAGTGGAAAGAAAGAGCACTGGAGGTACAGGGTTTTGAGGTTTGAATTTCAGCTCAGGAACTTCCTTCTTGTGTGACCTTGGAAATGTTACTTCACCTCTCTGGGCCTCTCTTTTTCTTCTCTAAGATGAGGGAGTTGGACTAGATGACTTCTAAGGGCCCTTTAAGCTCTAAATCTGTGATCTGATAGAAGTACTTGATGACAAGGATTATTATGGTTTTGGTTTTGTAGCCCTAGTGCCTAACTATGGTGCCTAATAGGTATTTGTTGAATTGAAATTTGTGCATACTTAACCATTTCTTTGTTGTCTGTCAATGACAATTTTAGATATTCTTAGTATCAATGGAATGATGCTTTAAGTTTGCAACACATAGTTGATTGATGTTTAAAAAAGCATAAAATAAATGCAATTAACAGTCTTAATTCTTTGGTAGCTCAGTGTACTGAGTATGATTTCTAATCATATCTCAAAAGGTCATGAGCTCTCCCAAGGTCTGAACAAAAGTCACAGTAGAATATTTATTTGTTAATATTTTTCATACTTAAAAATAATACCATTGTACAGTCAGAATAAAAAGCCCTTTAAAAAAAACTACTAGTCATCCTTATTTACTCAAATTAGGAGATTTTGGTTGTAGTCTTTCCTTTGCCACTGATTAGTTTTATGACATTGAGTTTTTGTTTCCTCATATGTAAAAGGAAGAGGTTTTAACTGCTTTGTCTCTACTGTCAATTCCAGCTTTAAAGTTCTGTGATTACTATTGGTGTTTGTGGGATTGGATCCAAGAGTTGTAGTCTTTATTTTTGTGAATAAGGACAATAGCTGTTGGTATATGGCCTAGTAGCATGTGCTACCTGTTTCTACCCTTACTGGCCTATGGTCCTTTCCAGAAGAATAGGTAGTAGTCATTGACAGCCCTAATATTGTCTTATTTTTCTTTTCATGAATCAGAAGAATAGACTACTAGTAGATTTATGAGTACTTCTGTGCTTATTATTATTGCTATTATCATTATTATTATTTTGTCTCTAGACATTTAGCTCTTTTGGGGAGTTCTCTCAGTCATTTGCTTTTGATTTAGAATACTGAAATTTTTTTTTTCATTTATTTTTTTTTCACTTTGCATAATCCTATATGCAGTGATGTGTGTTTAATACAGTTAAAATAATTTATTGGAAGGTTATTGGAGCATCTTACTGGGAAGAATGGAATACTAGGTAAGCTAGGCTTTATCTTGTCCATTTAACGGCTTCCCTCTTAGAGGAGAATAGAATAAAGTTTACCGATTAAAGGCCAGGTTAAGTGAGGGCAGGTACACACATACAGTTTTTGTGTCTCTGTTACTTCGGCCTGGTGCCTTCACTTGGTTTTGGTTTTATGTGAAGAGCTAGTTTTCATTTGTTGCTTTCCCTTTACCTTTTGTTAGCGCAAAGATTGACTGCATAGTAGCCTGAGTTTGTAGTATGTGTGTGAAAACTTGTGTGAACTTGTGACTCGGTTGGAACTACTGAAACTGACATATTGTACCCAGTTGTTTAGAGGAAGTATGTTATATTTGCTGTTGAATGTGACCTAAAGGGAACTAAAGATGTGTTTTGTTATTTTTTTCAAATTTCATTTATTAGGCATCTGAAGAAGCCTCCCTCCGGGCATTGGAAAGTTTAATGACAGAGTTTTTCCATGATTGCACAACCAATGAACGAAAACGTGAAATAGGTAAGATTATTTCATGTATTTAATGTAATTATAAGCAGCCATTTTGTGAGAGAGGCCTAGTCAGAGAGGCAACAGTAGCTGATCCTGATTCTATTCTCCTGAACTTCGGTATTTTGTTCTAGCTTTCCCACTGTTTTCCAGTGTCTGCAGCACATACTGTTATCTTCTCTGGTCTGTGGAAAAATTCCTGTTCTTTTTAGTTTCAGCCAAGATGGTGATACAATTTTTCAAAAGAAGTAAGATTGGGATAAGAAGAAGCAATTTGTGGGGCACGAGTTCTTTTTTCTTTCCCTTTTGCTAAAACCTGATAAAATTTATGATAAAGATACTCAGGCTTCCAACCTGAGATAGATTTTGATTAGTCTTTCTCCGTCTGGGAGATTTCCTCAGCCCTTTCTAGAATGTGTTGCTGCTGCTTGTGTATAGGTTCTTCCCCTTGTCACATGACTTTCTTGAACTTCTGACTTGTTTTCCTGTGGAGCTAGAAAGTAAAGCATTTCTGTGCCTGTAGTCAAGATTTGAAAATGGTACTTGTGTGATACTAGCTCCTGGAGGCATTGAATCTTCACTGTTGCCTATATACCTTGACTTATGGCAAAAATTTATTCTGTGGAGAGGGAATTTTCTGGCATTTAAAATGTGCATTTATTGAAAAAAAATACTCTCAATCAATAAGCATTAAACACTGTATTATATATCCGGCACTGTGATAGACACAGGGATATAGAGACAAAAATGGTATGGTTCTTGCCCTATTGGGGGAGATAACATGCATACGTAAAGGAATATACAAAATAAAAATAATTTGGGAGGGAGGGCACTAGGAGTTTGGGGAAGGGGAGAGGAATCAGAATTCATGTAGAAGGTAGTGCTTGAGCTGAGTCTTGAAGGAAATAGTATATTTTAAGAGACAGAAGTGAGAAGGGGGTATGGATTGGGTGTGTGGGATAGCTGCTGAAAAAACCTGCAGATGAGAGACAGCTTTTCACTTAGGAGGAATAGCAAGAAAGCCCATGTGTCTGGTGTGCAAGAAGGGCAGGAATGCTTAATAAGGCTGGAAACGTAGGTTGAAGCCAGATTGTGAAGGGGTTTAAATGATGAACAGAGGAATTTGTTTTTGATCCTAGAGGTAATATGGAGCTACTGGAGTTGATTGTGAGTAGGGTAGTAACTGTGCTTTAGCACTTTGGCCATTGTATGATGGCTGGATTGCAGAAGAGAGAATTTGGTTTCAGGGAGACCAAATACAAGTCTGTGGCATATTTCCTATGAGAGGTGGGAGTGGGGGTGGGGTGGGGGTGTAAGAGGGGATCTGAACTAATGTGGTGGTAGCCTTTTGAATAGAGAGAAGATTCTGATTGTGAGATGTTGTGAAGATATGCTTGATGAGAATTGGCAACTGATTTTTTTCCTTTTTTATACATGTTCATATATTTAATACCGGAAAATACCCTTCTTTGTGGCATAATAGCTGTTAAATTCCCACATTCTGACCTCTCAGACTTAAGTTTTTACTGAATAATGCTGTTGTACTTTTGCTATCTTTTTATTATTGTTTTATCATATCTAATTTTCTTATCTGTGACTTTAGAAATAGAACCCTATTAACATTTCCATGCTTGTAGTACAATTCTGAAGAAGCTAAGAATAAATTGGATGTTGCAAATGGCCAATTAAGTGCTCAGAGGTAAAGGAATGGGTTTTCTAAACTTGAGAAGAGTCTAGTTATAAAAATACCAGTGGATGGATGTATTAACCCACTACTTTTTGTATCCATTCTTTGTAGCTACCATTTGTTGAGCTTATGGGCTGGAGAACTCCTTGCTACCAAATCTCAATCTAGGTGAATATCCTCATTTTATACATGAAAGTACAGAGCCTCAGGGAGAGATTGAGATTTACTCACAGTCATACAACTAGCTAGTGACAGAGAATTGAACTCCTGATTTGTGGTCCAGTATACTATCAGACTTCTAAAGCAGGTGTTCTTAACCTGGGGTCTATGACTAGATTTTAGGGGGTCTGTGAACTTGGATAGAAGTATTTCCTTCAATTAGGCATGGAGGCAACAAAATATTCTCAGAAGGGTCCATGGGCTTTTCCAGACTTCTTCATGACATGCAAAAAAGTTAACTTCCACTCTAAAGTTTTTAGAAATAGTCATATAAATATAGGCTGTCGTCTTTTGACCTCTTGAATCTCTCTTTTCCTTTTCTCACTGAGTGCACCCTGCTGTAGGCTTTCATTAGTACTTTATACATAGGTCTCATGGTATCATTCCTTTCCTCAACACTCTTCAGTGGCTCCTCATTTTTTATTGAATAAAGTCTAAACTGTTAATCTTGGCATTCAAGGCTTTCCACAGGCCTACCATTTTAACCTTTCACATCCCTTGCTATGCATACTCCACTCTAGCTGTACTAGGCCTCTTACATTCATCTGGTATTTTTTCCTACCATACCTTTTTTAAAAATTTAAACTAAAATTAAATTTTATCAGTTAACTAAAATCTGTTTTTTTTCCTTCCACCCCACCCCTGTTGAAAAGGAAAGAAAAACAAAGCCCTTATAAAAAGTATATGTAGTCAAGCAAACAAATTCCTACATTGTCCATGTCCAAAAGAATTATGCCTTATCCTGCACTCTGAGTCCATTCACCTCTCTGACAGGAGATAGATAACATGTTCCATCATAAGTCCTCTGGAATTGCCGCCATGCCTTCGTGCACTCCATTGCATATACCTATATGCTCTCCTTATCTTTAATTTTGGCTTTTGAAATTCTACCCATCTTCCTTTTTTTTTTTTACCCAGCTTACATGTTATTTCTTTCATGAAACTTCTTTATTTCTTTTTTCTTTTTCTTTGTTTTACAGTTTATACATGTGTAGTCATGCAAAACACTTCCATAGTAGTCATGTTGTGAAAAACTAAGTATATTTCCCTTCATCCTATCCCGGCCCCCCCATTTATTCTATTCTCACTTTTGACCCTGTCCCTCCTCAGAAGTGTTTGCTTCTGATTACTCCCTCCCTCAATATGCCCTCCCCTCCTGCTTTCTTGTCCCCTTCCCTGCTATTTTCCTGTAGGGTAAGATAGATTTCCATACCCCAATTGAGTGTGTATGTTATTCCCTCCTTAAGCCAAATCCTATGAGAATAAGATTCATTCATTCCCTCTCGCCTTCCCCTGTTTCCCCTCCACTGTAGAAGCCTTTTCTTGTCTGTTTTATGTGAGAGAATTTACCCCATTCTACCTCTCCCTTTCTCCTCCCAGTATAATCTCTCACTCCCATTTTATCCTCCAGATATCACCCCTTCATCTTCAACTCACCTTGTGCCCTCTATACATATAATTTTTATCCTCCAACTGCCCTAATACTCACAAAGGTCTCATGAGTTACAAATATCATCTTTCCATGCAGGAATGTAAACAGTTCAGCCTTAATAAGTTTCTTATGATTTCTCTTACCTGTTTACTTCTTCATGCTTCTCTTGAATCTTGTATCTGAAAGTCAGATTTTCTATTCAGCTCTGGTGTTTTCATCAAGAATTCTTGAAAGTTCCGTATTTCACTGAATGACCATTTTTTACCCTGAAGAAGTATACTCAGTTTTGCTGGGTAGGTGATTCTTGGTTGCAATCCTATCACCTTTGCCCTCTGGAATATTATATTCCATGCCCTCCGATCCCTTAATGTAGAAGCTGCTAAATCTTGTGTTATCCTGATTGTGTTTCCACAATACTTGTATTGTTTCTTTCTGACTGCTTGCAATATTTTTTCCTTGATCTAAGAGCTCTGAAATTTGGCTACAATATTCCTAGAAACCTCTTTATTTCTATCTCCCACTCCTTAAAAGCCTTATTTCTTTTCTCTTGCCTCACCATTGTACTTACCTTCTTACATGAGTAATATATTAAGGTTATGTGATTTTTTTTCAGGCTGGAGAGCCACCCTGAGGTGCTTAGAGATTAAGGATCACATAGCTGGTGTCAGAAGGCAGATTTACCGAGAATCACCACAGATAGTGTCAGAAACTAACTGATTTTGAATACAGGCCTTCCCAATTCCAAGCCTAGGTAGGTGATGTAGTTGATAGAGTGCTGGACCTGGAGTCAGGAAGACCTGAGTTCAGATGTAGCCTCAGACACTTACTAGCTGTGTGACCTTAGGCAAGTAACTTAACCACTGCCTGCCTCAGTTTCCTAATCTTTAAGATGGGGATAATAATAGCAACTACCTTGCAGGGCTCTGGTAGGATCAAATGAAATGATATTTGTAGAGTGCTTAGCATAGTTCCCGTTTCATAATAGACACTACATAAATGTTAGCTATCATTATTGTTGTTATGGTTGTTTTCCAGGTCAGTTTTTTTTTTTACTTCAAATATCTTGCATTTTCATTTTCTTCTGTCTTTTCAATCTTTTGCTTTTGTTCTGATATATTTCTTACTGTCTTGTGGAGTCATTGATTTTTGTTTTATCTCTTCTAGTTTTGGGGAAGTATGTTTCTTGGGTGAGGTTTAAAACTTTATCTTCTAAGCTTTTCTCCTTCCAGTTCTTTCCTCCAGAGCTTTAATTTGATTTTAAAAAAAATTTCTTGCTTCATTTCTTCTCAGCATTTCTGCAGTCTTTGTGGAAAATCAATTTTTTTTGTCTCTCTCTTTGTAGTTGTTATAGAGTTAGATTTTCAGTGCTTTTTGGTACCATTTGATACTTTTAAAAATGTACTCATCTTTCTCGCTTTAGCTCCTAAATTGGAGCTTTGTGTTAGAACCAAGCTCCTCCCCCTGCTACATATTTGGTTGGGGTGGTTAGTAGTCTTTGGTTTCACGCTGAGGCCCATGTCTTCTTCCTGGCTTTAGGCCCTCTTGGGTCTTTGAGGTGCAGTGTGCTGGATCTTCGGGGCCTTCTCTGGCGTCTCTGGGACAGGGTGTTTGGGACCTAGGAGACCTGGTCTGAGCACTGTGGTACCACTGCAGGTCTCTTGGGCTTCCAGGGTCCCCATCCTGGGGCTTTCTAAGCACTGTGCACCTTTCTCAAAAAAATCCTCCACTTCTTCTGCCTCTGAACACAGAACCTTATAGGCCACAGGTGTCTTATCTTTCTGGCCCTTGCTGTGCTTTGGAGGGTTGGGGAATAGTGGCATTCCTATTGTCATTGGGCTTCCTGCTAACTTATTTGTTCAGTTCTGGAGTGGAAATGTCACTTATTGTATTTTCTCATTGCATTTCTTTTTTAAAAAAATATATTTTTAACATTATTCTCTCTTTCCCACTAGCCTCTCCCCCACCTATTAAGGAGGCAAGCAATATGATACTCATTATACATGTGAAGTCATCTCATTGTATTTGGTCTTGTGTGAACTTTAGAGTTTTATCACCAGTTGGTATGAGGAAGCTGGGCAGCCTGTTGCCTATTCAGTTATCCATTTGTCAGGAAGTCTGGGGCAAGATTTAGACTCATATCTGTCCTGACTCAAAATCTAGTGCTTTTTTCACTATACCATACTGTGTGCTTTTTATTTTTAGTAAATACATATTTTAGGTGTATTTGTCTGTGTCCTCCTTCCTTAGTGTATTGTAAAGCCATTCATTCCTTCAGCAGCATTGAAAAACAAGTGGTATGTGTAGAGCATTTTATTAGGTACTAGGGAAATATGAGGATAATTAAGATATGATTCCTGTCATTGTAGAACTCATAATAACTTAGTAGGAGGGGATATAACACTTAAACAACAATATGCGATTTTATAAGATAACTTGTGAATAGACAGTACATGTGTGAGAGGTTGAAAGTACCATGTGTTGTCTAAGGCAGAAAAGATATTTTCTGACTGAAGGGAGATGCCTTTGAAAAGGGTTTTGAAGTGTTGATTGGATTTCCCGACTGGTGATAGTTGTTGGAAGCCCATCCAGGTGAAGGCAAAGATGTGTACAAGGCACAAATGCAAGAAAATGTTGGAGTTGTGCTAGGGATGGCTGTTAGACCTGGAAAGAGAGGATGGTGCAAAGTTGTAGGGAGTTTTGAATGCCAGGATAAGGAGTGTGGACTTAATTTTGTATCTAGTAGTGAACTACTGAAGGTTTTGGTTAGATGCACAAGATCAGATTTATACATGAGGACAATGAGTTTGATGGTAGTGTAGAAGAAGAATTGGAGAGTAAAGATAATGATTGATAGGGGAATGATTAAGAGACTTTCCGTTGTTTAGGCAAGTGGTAATAAGAGTCTGCTAGGATGGTGACAGAGTGAATTAAAAAAGGGGGATGGCTTAAGAAGTCTTGTGCAGATAGAATAAGTTATAGAATTGGTGACTGGTGACTGAATTCATGTTCATTATTTCATATGATATAGTAATTTCTCTTAAATTCATGTGCCACAATTTGTTTAGTCATTCCCTGATCAATGGGCATCTGCTGTGTTTCCAGTTCTTTGCTACTACAAAAGGGACTTCTGTGGATATTTTGTTGTATGTGGGACCTTTCTTTATTTGACATCCTTGGGAGTGAGCCTTGGAATGTGATCTCTGTGTCAAAGGGTATAGATATTTTAGTCATTCTCTTCAAATAATTCCAAATTGAATTTCAGAATAGTTGGACCATTTCACAGCTTCGCCAGCAATATGTTAGCATACTTGTCTTTTGTCAGCCACTTCAACATTGATTTTTTCTACCTTTTCTCATATTTGCCATTTTCTGAGTGTGAGGTGAAAGAAACCTCAAAGTTTTGATTTTCATTTTTCTTCTTAGGGATGTTAAATGGTTTTTCATACAGTTAATAGTTAGCAATTATTCTTTTGAAAACTATTGTTCACATCCTTTGACGCCTTATCCTTTAGGGAAAGGCTTACTGGTATTCTGTATTTTTGCGGGGGGGTGGGGGCAGCTAGGTGGTGTAGCGAATATAGAGCTGGGCCTGGAGTCAGGAAGACTTATCTTCCTGAGTATGTGGCCTCAGACACATGCTAGCTGTGTGACTCTGGGCAAGTCACTTAACCGTATTTGCCTTAGTTTCCTCATCTGTAAAGCCTCATCTGTAAAATGAGCTGGAGAAGTAAATGGCAAACTATTCCAGTATCTTTGCCAAAAACACCCCATATGGGTCATGAAAAGATGGACACCAGTGAGCAACAACAGACAATTTTTTGGGTTAATTTTACTAGTTTTTGTTAATTTTGTTAATTTACTTTATGTCTTGGATTAGCAAGAGATATTTGGTGTGAAGATTTTCCCCCCTATTTAACAGATGTTCCTTATATCATAGTTGAATTGATTTTAAAAAATTTTAGTGCAGAAACTTCTTATGTAATAAAAATTTTATCATTGTGATTGCTTCTGTTCCTTCTTTATTGAGGCATACTCCCCCAGGCATAGTCATGAAAGGTAGCTCATCTTATTCTTTTTTTTTTTTTTGGGTGGTTTGACCCTTTATATTCTTGCTTAACCATTTTGAGCTAATGATGAACAGTGAAAGATGTTAGTCTAAACCAGTGGCTCCCCATGCTTTTTTATCCGCAGTCCCCTTTTGACAGTAATTAAAAAAATGTTATGAACCTTCAGGGCAATTTAATATATTACCCATAATATTCTGCAGTTATCTACTGCTTAAGGCACCGTTAAAGAATTCTTAACGGTAACTCTTTGGACCATTGTCTCAAACCCCCAGGGGAATTGCCAATCACTAAATATATAGGGAACCGAGTGGTCTGAACCTAATTTCAGCCAAACTGATTTCCAGTTTTCTCAGCACTTACTGTCTAATAAGGAGTTCTTCCCTGAGTAATTTATGTTCTTGGATTTTATTGATTGGTGGGCACTTGTGTTCAGTTGTTTCTACTTCTTCCTTACCTAGTCTGTTTCATTGTTATATCTTATTTTACCTATACCAGATAATTTTGATAATTACTGCTTGATAGCCTATCTGAAGTCCAGAAATACTTATTCTCATTATGTTCTGTCTTATATTTCTTGTTCTTTAGGTCAGGGGTGACTGTTTAGAAACTCAGTGTGTGGTGAATTTAATCAAACTGTGTTAACTCAGAAATACTGTTGCAGAACCTTACTACTTTACTTCACTTTCCTTCACCCCTAGATCTTCCCCACTCCTCTCTCCACTCCTACAAAGCAAACAAATAAATAAGTAAGGTGAACTATGTTATTGATGAACTTGTAGGTTCTGACTAGAGGAACAACTTATTTGAATGGTGAGTGAGGAGTTTCGGAAACTGTACTTAGTTTAGACGTGTGAAGCATACGGAGACAGCATTTTGAACCCTCTAGAAGACCCACAGTGACAATATCAATGCTTTAGTTAAGTTTGTTTAAGAACAAAACGAAATTAAAATAAAGTTCAAATGTCGCTAGTTGTTTCTAATCTTTTTTACCCTTCCAATTTTTGTTTCACCTGGGACTCCCTTTGGATCTTCTTTGATAATTGTAACATCAACTGTTACAAATCAGTCTTTTTGTATCCACCTGTGTTTTTAAGAAGTTATTTGGGTGGCGCTGTATCAGCACATGGAGTTCTTGAGTAGGCAGAATGCTTGCCTAAGGGTCTTTGCAGGAAAAAAATCTATTTTTTACAGTGGTAGGGCAAAGACATGTTTAGTGCTTACCTGTACATGAGCCCTCTTTTAGTTAATATTTTGTAGTCAGGATCTTCTGGCTTGTCTTCTTTGAAGATTGTAGGTAGGGAGTTTTCTGTTATGCTTATATGTTGGTGAAACTACATAGGGAAAATTATTTGGGAGAAAAAAATCATCTGGTATTAAAATAGATTTATAAAGTTTTGTAACCATTTTTTTTTGACATTTTAATTTTTCCAGAGGAGCTTCTGAATAATTTTGCCCAACAGATCGGAGCTTGGAGATTCTGCCTCTATTTTCTCTCTAGTACACGGAATGACTATGTAATGATGTATAGTTTAACGGTTTTTGAGGTAAGTTTTCAGATAGTTCTGTTCTCAAAATTTTGTGTTTATTTTGCCTTTGATGTTATTTCAGTAGTATGTATTTCTTTTTGTAAGTCTGGCATTTGTAAACACGTGGTTAGAACTTTTGTTTAAATACCTCTCTTAAGATGACTGAGTCTTTTCCAGTCGGTAGGGAACAATGGAAGCTGAGGGTAAGTGACTTTGGCTAGAGTCAGTGTTCATGTGAACATTTAACTTCATAGTTGAAAAGTCAGTAGTTTTTGGTATGATTCTTTCCAGATTTTTGTGTGGCTAACCCACCATTTTAAATTTTAAGATGATTCGTACCTTAGAAAAGATAAGCAGTTTTACTTTGTTTTAGTGTTGTGATACATTTAATATTGTAATCTGCACATTTTAAGCAGTCAAAAATAAGGACTGTGATTCTATGGCAAATTTAGAACGTACTTTTCAAATTGGACACCATTGGGTATTATATGTAGTAAAGTGGAGGTGAGGTCTTGCATGCCTTCTTTGTCATGGAGTAAGTATTGTTCCATTTTACAGTTGAAAAAAGATGAGTGAGTAGCAGCTATATGCCCTGTTCATTCCTAATCCAAATGCAAAGCTGAAGGTCAGTGTAATTCAGGTATTTTGGAAAATGTTCAAATGAAAGTTTTATAACCTCTACCATGAATCAGATTTTTAATCAGTCTGTGTAACCTTAAATTTTTTCAGGTAAGAAAACTTCTATCATTTTGTTTAGTGATTAAAGTCAGTTATTTGCATATGTGGTTTGCCTAACATAAAGGGTATCCTCTTTGTCTTTTAGAATCTGATCAATAAAATGTGGCTGGGAGTCCCATCCCAGGATAAGATGGAAATCCGAAGCTGCCTGCCCAAGCTCCTTCTAGCTCACCACAAAACCTTACCTTATTTTATCCGAAACAAGCTCTGCAAAGTTATTGTTGATATTGGCCGCCAAGATTGGCCTATGTTCTACCATGACTTTTTTACAAACATTTTACAGGTAAGAATATGCCTAAGGAAATCTGATGAACCATTTTAGGAGTTTTGAATATCTTATCCTGAGAAACTTGTTGTACAGGTTGTTTCCTTCTTGGCTTGTAAAGAAGTTTTAAGATTAAATATTTTAGGAATACATTAGCAAGATTTGTATGTAAGTACCTGCAGAGAATAATGTGCAAAAAGTAAGTGGGAAATTTACTGGATTACTTCTGTGAGCAATATTAGGGTCTTTTAGTGACTCTCTCTTTAAGAATGCCACTGTTTCATTGTACACAGTAACAGCCACATTGCAGGCACATTGTGTGATGACTAACTTTGGTAGACTTATCTCTTCTTCAAAATGCAAGGATGTAAGACAGCTCCAAAAGACTCATGATGGAAAATGCTGTCCATATCCAGAAAAAGAACTATGGACTCTGAATGCAGATTGAAGCATGTTATTTACTCTCTCTTTTTTTTCTTTTTTTATTTGTTTCTTCTCTCTTGTGGTCCTCCTATTGGTTCTAATTCTTCTTTACCTCATGACTAATGTGAAAATAGGTTTAATATGAATGTATATGTTGAGTCTGTATCAGTTTACGTGTTGTCTTCGTTTGGGGGGAGGGGAGAGATGGGGAGAAAATTTGGAACTCAAAATCTTATGGAAGTGAATGTTGAAAACTAAAAATAAACAAATTTATTATTTAAAAAAAGACTACCCCTGTTTCATTAGTCATAGAAGGGAGTGGCCAGAGTAAATAGTAAGGTGCCAGGAGAACAGACAGGACTTATTCAGTAGCTTAGCAGTAGCCGAATCTCGGCAATATAAGGTGATCTCTGGCATTTGTGCTAGGTGTTTTCTGAGAAACCTACTGAAGAATGGAATGTATATCAGTTTTGTATTTTAAAAATTTCAAACTAAAAGTGTATTGTCATTCATCTTTTATAGCCTTAAGATATCCAGGGAACAGCTTTTGATTTTGTTCTAATATTTCTTTCTTCTTCTTCTTCTTCTTTTTTTTGTGTGAGGCAGTTGGGGTTAAATGACTTGCCCAGAGTCACACAGCTGATGTTATGTATCTGAGGCTGGATTTGAACTCAGGTCCTCCTGACTCCAGGGCTGGTGCTCTACCCACTGTGCCATTTAGCTGCCCCTTTGTTCTGATATTTCTTTCTATCTCTAATGGAGTCCCTGATTTCAGTTTGATATATTTCAAGTTTCCAAGGATTCCATTTACATCAGACACCCTCTTGCCTGGGAGTCTTGTTAGTATTTCTTAATCAGTGAAGGAAGCTGACTCTTGGCTTTTTAGTGTTTAGGTATCTCACTGGAAGCCTCACTACCCTTTTTTAGTGAGGCAGTTGGGGTTAAGTGGCTTGCCCAGAGTCACACAGCTAGTAAGTGTCAAGTGTTTGGTCTGAGGCTGGATTTGAACTCGGGTCTTCCTGACTTCAGGGCCAGTACTCTATCCACTGCTCCACCTAGCTGCCCTTACCCTTTTTCTATTGTCCATCTTTGTTACCAGTTTCCCCCTTTCTCCCTATCTTATTGATTCATTTCAGCAAATATTTTTCATAAGCTTATTGGCTTAAGTACAGGGGAAGAGAAGTTTAGATAAGACATAATATTTGCTCTCCTGAAGCTCAGAGTCTAGTAGGGGCAAAAGACATCAACACAGTTAACTATACCATAGTGGTGTCAAACTCAAATAGAAATGGGGACCACCAATCCATACATAAGGATCCCTGCAGGTTGCATATTAACTTAGTTTTAAAATGTAATGTTATCTGTGTTTTATTATATTTTTATTTATTTTGTTAAATATTTTCCCAATTACATTGTAGTCTGATTCAGGCTGCAGGCTGGATGTTGAAGGCTGTGGACCTTGTATTTGATATCTTTGCTCTATAACATTACATAAGTGTGTTTGAGAGTTCCAAAACAAAATGTTGTTACGTGACATCTGAGGGGGAAAGGGTCCTTATTCCCCTGGGCTTATCATCAAAGGCTTCATGGAGGAAGTGGCTTAAACAAATGTGTAGCTTGAAGAGAGAGAAAGTATGTGTCAGGCTTAGTGAAGAATGTAAAGGCATATACGTTGAAGAGTATAAGATATGCTCAGGGTAGCAGAGGGCAATAATCCAGTTTGCTATACTATAGAGTTATAGAGGAGAGTATTATGAAATAAAGTTAAGAAGGTAGATTATTCCAGATTGTATAGAGATTCTTGAATGCCAGAAAAAGAAATTTGAGTTTAACACAGTAGGCAAAAAGGAGCCACTGAAGATTTTTGAATATAGCAATGTCATTATCAAATATTTTATTTTGGCAGTAGTATGTATTGTAGAGGGGAGAACAGAGAAGGGAACATCTGTTAGAGTTCAGTAATAGTCTGTTCAGGTAGTAATAACAGGCTATTGTAGTAGGATATAGAAGTCAAGATTATCTTTTAAACATTTGGAAATGTGGATTTTTTAAACTCTTGCCTTTGTAACTTGAAAATATTTAAAATAAAATATATTTGTAACTTTAAATTGAATAAACACTGTATTTGGGAGTATGGAGACAGATTTTAGTTTCACTTTTGCCCCTAAATAGCTTTGTAATTTTGGGGAAGTCATTTTACTTCTCTGGACTTGTTTCTTCATGTGTAAAATGAAAGGATTGTACTAAACTTTAAAATTCTGTGATTGTTAACTTTCAGTGAGAACTAGCATATGGTTAGTATTTACAATATGCAAGGAAAGACTGCTGCTTGATTATTGGCATTTCTGGTAATGAAGCAAAACTTTTTATCAGATATAACTGCAGCAAAGCAAAACCGGTTTTAGAGTCAACTTGGTTATCATAAAATCTTTTGAGTCAACCTACTAAAAAGTTTTTCTGATCCAGTTTAAGTCATGGTGAGTTTTCAGTTTAAGTTGGAGAATTTGCCAAATTATAGTAGTTAATTAATGCTAATGAAGAGTCTTAGCATAAAGAAAACTAATAATTCTCCTCCCTCTTCCCCCAATGCCCAGGTCAGCTAGCCTCATTTCATTTGGCTAGCTCTCATTGTTAGAGCATTTAAAAAAAAAATCAAACCTAAATCTGCCTCTCTGGCCTCAAGTAGAACAAATCTATTCCTCCTCTAACTGAAAGCCCTTCAAATACAGTTTGTTTGTTAAATACATGACAGTTGTCATGTCCATCCTAAGTCTTTTCTTCATTAGGCTAAGTTTTCATATCCTTAAGTTAATCCTCATTTGGAGTGGTTGATTTGTTTAATGGGTTTTGTTTAAAAATTGAGAATCACAGAATCCTAAGGGATGAAAAGGGACCTCAGAGGCTATCAAGTTCAGCCTGTTATCTGGATAAGAATCTTTTTTTTTTTTTTGGTTGGGCAATGGAGTTAAGTGACTTGCCCAGGGTCACACAGTTGTAAGTGTTATGTGTCTGAGGCCGAATTTGAACTCAGGTCTTCCTGAATCTAGGGCTGGCGCTCTATCCACTGTGCCACCTAGCTGCCCCTTAGAGTCTTGTTTATAATATACATGACAAGTGTTCATTTAGCCTTTGCTAGAAAACATATCAGCCCATTCCACTGTTAGGAAGTACATCAAGACTAGATTTGCCTTGTGTAACTTGTACCCTTTGATTTCATTTTCACCCTCTTGGATGAAGCAGGATAATAAGTAAAAGTATTCTTTTGTGTGGTAGCCTTTTAAATACTTGAAGATAGCTATCATTTAGTCTCTAAGTCTTCTCTTCTCCAGTTTATTTATATATTCCCAGTTTGACTTCTTGTCAATATGATTGGCTGAATGAGAGGCAGATTGCCCAGCTCCCACATATGTACTTCAGCAAAATTCTGAAGTTTGCACCGGAGAGAATAATGATCAAATATTCAGATGGGAAACTGCAGTAAGTGACTCCTTCTAGCCCAGAACTTCACAAGAGTTATCCAGAAGTACATGGGCAATGGGAGAGAATATCTGTCCAGATGACTAGTGTCAGCACAGGTTGGTAGCTACCTAGCATGACCAGAGGTAAGACTCATGTAGCCTATAGGGCTTTGTGACAGGAACCAATAAGAATAGAGAGCTCACATGAGAAAGCTTCAAGATAGTCAGAAAGTCCCATAATGGTTAAAAGGCCCCAGAGTATGGACCTTAAAAGCCCTGGAAAGTGACAGTAAGTTGGGACCATCTAGTTATCTGCAGGGTGCTATAGTGATCAGACTAGGTTGCCAGTGAGATGCTATAGTGTTCAGGCTGGGATACCTGAGGTGCCCAGGGCCTCTGAAGGCTCTGACACTCTAAACCGAAATGCCAGAAAAGACCCTGGAAATCTAGCACTCTGAACTTCAGTGATCTAGGGGAGCCTAATCCAGGGCAGTGGAGGTCAATGAAGAAACCCAGGGGGAATGAAAGCGTGACCAAACAGGGCTGACCCACCCCACCTAAAAGCATCAGTGGAAAATGGGGAGTGGGGGTGAGCCTGATCCTGGCATGAAGCTCTAGTTCAGGAACTAAAACTAGAGAACCAGAGCTGGCTAAATCAAAATATTGACCAGTATTAAAAATTATTTCAAATCTATTTATTCCTCCAAAAGACACAGTAACCTTATAAAAACTACAAGCAGACTCAAAGGATAAAATAGATTTTCAACATAGCCTATATGAATACCTAGAAGAAATCAAATAAGAAATAAAAAATTTAATGAATTCTGTAGAAAAAAGAATTGGTAGGAAAATAAGTAGTAACTTGTGTTAGTCTCCCCTGGATCTTTGAAGTTTCTGCTCTTGGGCTTTCAAGGATTCAACTCTGGGCTTTTAAACCATGATGGGATGTGATAGGCCTTAACCAAGAAATAGACTTCCTGAAAATTAAAACAGATAAAAAATTAATGTCTCTACAAGACAGCAAGAAATACTTTAATATTCAAAAGATCAAAATCAAAAGATTGAAAAAACAGAATAAATGAAAATGTAAGCCATCTGACATAAAAAAATAACTGACCTGGAAAGCAGATCAAGGAGAAATAATTTAAGAATCATTGGACTTTCTGAAAACCATAATTAAAAAAAACTCCCCCAAACTGGATGCTGTATTTCTAGGAATCATTGATGGAAACTTCGTGGCTCTTTTAGAATTGAAGGCAAAGTAAATATAGAAGGAACCCATTGATCATGTCCTAAAAGGTATCCCAAAAGGAAAAATTCCAAGAATATCATAGCCAAAATCCAGAACTCCCATGGCAAAGAAAAAATACTGCAAGCATCTAGAAAGAAGTCCTTTCATTTTTAAGGAAGCACAGTCAGGATCACACAAGATCTGGCTAATTTAATTAAGAGTGAGAAGAGATCTTGGAATACAACATTCCAAAAGGCAAAAGGGAGAGGCTTATAGCCAAGAGTAAATTACCCTGAAAAATTGAGTATAATCCTACAAGGGAAAAAAATGACTTTTATTGGAATAGAAGACCTTCAAATATTTCTTATGAAAAGAGTGAAGCTGAGAAAGAACTTTGAAATGCAAACAAGAATTCAGAGTAACGCAGCAAGGTGAACTTATTTGAGCAATTGGAAGGAGCTGTAGGTTGATGTAGTGTTAATATTCTAATGTGGAAGAAGAAACAAGTGTTCCTTCAGAAACTTAATGATTTCAAAGAATTTTGAGGAGGATTATATGAGAAACATGGGTCTCAGGAGAGGATTGGTTCTGTTCTGAGGGTTTGAAGGGTGAAAGAGAAGGGAAGGTGAAAGGAATACACTATTGTAGAAAAAGAGGAAGAAATGGGGAGGGGGCCGTATGTGGTACTGGCTGTTTCTCGTGATTTGGGTGCATGAGAAGAAGAGGAAGGCAGGGGAGATTGGGCATCAAATGAGCCTCACTTTTTTTAAAAATTAATTTAGTTTTAGTTTTCAACTATCACTTCCATAAGCTTTTGAGTTCTAAATTTTCTCCCCTTCGCTCCCTGCCTTCCTCCCCAAGATTGTGTGCAATCTGATATAGGCTCTATGTGTACATTCCTGTTAAACATATTTTTGCATTAGTTATGTTGTAAAGAAGAATTAGAATCAATAGGAGGAAGCACAAGAGAGAAGAAACAAAACAAAACAGGCGGAACAAAAAGAAAGAGCAAATAATATGCTTCAGTCTGCATTCCAACTCCATAATTCTTTCTCCCGATGTGGATAGCATTTTCCATCATAAGACTTTTGGAGATGTCTTAGATCCTTGCATTGCTGAGGAGAGCTAAGTCTGTCAAAGTTAGTCATTGCATAATGTGGCTGTTACTGTGTGTGACATTCTCCTGGTTCTGCTCATTTCACTCTGTTTATGTAATTTGATATGAGCCTTTCCAGTTTTTTCTGAAGTCTGCTTGCTCATCATTTCTTATAGCACAATAGTATTCCATTACATTCATATGCTTGTTCAGCCACTCCCCAATTGATGGGCATCCCGTCAATTTCCAATTCTTTGCCACCACAGAAAGAGATGCTATAAGCATTTTTGTACATGTGGGTCCTTTTCCCATTTTTATGATCTCTTTGGGATGCAGCCCTAGATGTGATATTGCTGGGTGAAAGGGTATGTACATTTTTATAGTCCTTTGGGCGTAGTTCCAAATTGCATTGAGCCTCATTCTTATCTGAAATGGAGAAAGGAGGATTGAATGGAAAATCCTCCCCCCCCCACACATACATACATACATACATACATACATACATACATACACACAGAGTGAAATAGCTTGGTGTACAAATGTATGAAACTCAGCTGGGAAAGAAGTGAGAATAGGGAAGGGATAGGGGATCTAATAATACTGCCTCTTAGATTGTTGGGAAGTGACTGAACAAATTATAATATATGCATGTTATATAGAGTGTTGTGCTGTAAGAAATCATAAAGAGGCAATTTCAGATAATCCTGGGTAATGTGAAATTCTGCACAATGAATTGAGCAGAACTGGAGAATAATTTATGCAAGGACAACAATTTTGTAAGAAAAAACAACTTTGAAAGATTGATGCAATGACCAGTTTTGTGTCCAGAGGTCCTGGGATGAAGCACGTTAGCATTTCACCGTAGTCATACCCTACACACATCCCAGTGATTCTGAATCCCTGTAGGTCATCATCCAAACCCTATTCCTTATCCTCTACCACCTGATTCTATATTCCTATCACCTCTCAACCTTTTCACCCCAAAGTTCCAACTAAATACCGCCCTCCCATTTTACCATGCCCTCCGAAATGCCTGTTCCATAGAGAACAAACTTCCCTTCATCCTATATCTTTTCTTTTCCCACTCCTTCCATCTTCCAGATGTTATTGTAACCTGGCTCCTTCCTTTTGGACCCTCCTTGTCTTTGTTTCCTCAGGGCAACAAAGATGCAAACTATCATAACTCTCTGTACTCAGCCAGTAAGCTGAGGGCTCTTTAAAGCCTATACTTGCATGAAACTTGTCTGTTTGTAGCTTCTTAGGAGTAGATTATTTCAGCTCCTAATTTAAGAATTTTGTATTTAAAATGAGGTAAACGTGAATGTGTTTTGAAAAGTTAGTGTCATCCAGATGTAAGATTATGTGTTTTATGTATATATAACTTTTTGCAGATTACACTCGCACGAAACTGAGTTTTACTTTGTTTCAGTAATCTGTTTTATGAAAATGAAGTTCATCTGTAGATTTCTTGCCAGCCTTTATAAACTTTCTTCAAAACATGCTTGTGTTTTATCCTTTCAGTTGATACAGTCCCCTTTGACTACTCCCCTTGGACTGATCATGTTGAAAACTACTTCAGAAGAGCTGGCGTGCCCCCGAGAAGACCTCAGCGTGGCTCGAAAAGAGGAGTTGCGGAAGCTGCTATTGGACCAGGTACAAAATGTACTTGGACTGCTTACAGGTGAGTGTGATTACAGTTTTGCAAAAAGCATCCAGCTTGTGGTGACTCAGAGGCAGCACTGAGAATTTGTAAGCCAGCTAACATTTTCCTAAAGTAAAGCCCTTTTTGTTTGTACAGTTTGTTGTCAATTCAGTGGTTTAACTTTTTCTAGTTAGAAAAAAAGTTAGATGTAAGGATGCTTTTAAACTGAATCAGGAATATATTAAAATAATTTGATTGAAAGGGAGTTTGGTAAAAAGTGGGACGGACACTAGACAAATATGGTTGTAGACAATTGAAAAACAAAGGTCATCTTGCTCAGGGGAGAAGTTTTTATGGAAGAGAAAGCATTTGAGGTTAGCTTTAAAGGATAATTATTATTCAGTAGGCAGAAAGTAAAGGAGTGAAGGGAGACTATTTTAAGTATATGGAACAGAGAGGGTTAGGGAAAGCTCTGAGGTTGCAAGAATAATCCATGTTGGCTACATCATCCATTATATGGAGAGTTAAATGATAGTATATAAGGCTGGAAAGTTAAGGAGGAGGAGTGTAGTTGTGAAGGGCCTGATAAGCAGTGGAATTTAAATGTTACTCAGAAGTAGTCAGGGAAGCTCATGAGCATAGAGGAAGGACATGACCAATATGTGTATGAGGATCACTGTACTAGGTAGGAGAAGGGAATAATAAACTTTCTTGAGGTCTCCTCTTCTTGGATTTTGTCACTGCTGAAGGAAGCTTTGGGTCTTCTGTAGACCCTGGAAAAAGGAGATGGGACAAAAGTTTTGTGTGTGTGTGTGTGTGTGTGTGTGTGTGTGTGTGTGTGTGTGTGTGTGTGTATGAGTATGATGCTACAAAAGTAGCATTAAAATAATTATTTTCCTTAATTTTACAAATGAAGAAACCAAAGCCAGGTTGTTAATTGACTTGCTCAGAGTCACACAGGTAGAAAGCAATCAAGCTAAGATGTGAATTTTAAGTTCCCAAATCATTGCTCAGTAAGTCTTCTTATGCTTTAATAATGTTTACCTTATATCTCCTTCAATGACTTGTAGAAGAGTCTACACAAAGTATGTGCTTAATAAATGTTATTTATTTCCCCCATCTACTTCTTTGTGTGTACCCTGAGTATTGCAAGTTAGCCTTGATAAAAATCTTGACATCATTTCTACTTTCTAGCCATCGCATATATCCATTCCTGATTCATTCCTTCAAAATCTCTCCCACACTTCTTTATTTTATTTCATTTCTCTCCCACCTCCTTCTTTCTTTGCTGTCTGCTGATTTGCTCACCTATCCTAAAACTTTATTCTGATACAGTTGTTTCCTCAAGCCATCATTCTTTGTTATCTTTTACTCCTTATTGTTTCTACATCTTTACCATCCAGTTGCTTCTCAACCCTTTCTAGTATGGCTTCAGATCTTACCAATCAACTAAATGTTCCCTCTTAAGGTCTCCAGTGGCTTTCTTTAGTTTCTATACTCTTAGACCTTTCTGCAGTATTTGGCACAGTTGACCATTGCTCTTTCTTGAATATATTCTTTTCCATTAACTCCAATGACATTCTTCTCTGCTTGTTCTCTTGCCTGTCTTATAATTTCTTCTTGGTCTTCACTGGTTCAGTGTCCTCCTCCCAAATGTTAAATATGAGTTTCCCCCCAAGGTTCTTCTTTTGACTCTGTTCTTTCCCTACATGCTTTTCCTTGGAGGTAGATAATCGTCCACCCTTTTGATTTACAGTTATTAATGCTGTGCAGATGACTCCAGAATATGTGTGTGTGTGTGTGTGTGTGTGTGTGTGTGTGTAAGATTTATTCAACTCCAACCTTTACTCCGATGTCCCTGGCAGTACCTCAAATACATGTTGTCCAAAACTGACCTCTTCTCGAGTTCCTTCCCAAACTGTCCCTTCCACTAATCATCGCTATTGTGGATAACATCACCATCTCTCAGTCATGTGGGCTATAAATCTTGGAGTTTTCTTTTATTCTTTGTTTTTCACCTATGCATCCAGTTGGTGGTCAAGTTCTGCTGAGTCTTTTTTCATAATATGTCGTGGATCTAAAAGTCATGATGATGTAGTGGAATTTGGATTCAGAGGATGAGGATTCAAGTGAGGGCTCTGCTGACCTGTAAAATGAGGAGGATGGGCTAGAAGTCCTTCTGGTTCTAGATCTATGATCCTATGGTTCCTTTTCCCTTAGCCTGGTTACCACCTTTGTTTCAGATCCTTACCACACCTAACTTAGCCTACTCTAATTGTCTCCTCTGGTTAGATAGATTCTTTCTTCTCTAGTTCATCCTTTACACAGTTGCTAAAAATAATTTTTCAAATTGACAAGACTGATCATTTATTTTACTATCTGCTCAGAAACTTTTAATAGCTCACTATTGACCATAGGATATTATAGAAGTTTCTGCTTAACCTCCTGTTATTTAAGGGCTTAGCCTGCCTTTCCAGCCTCATGTCACATTTATCCCTCTCACTCATGCTCAATTTAAACTCTAACCCAAACTGAAATACTTGCTGTTTTTCATTCTCCTGCCCTTTACCCCAGTTCTGTGCATTCATGCATTTAATTCCCCAGTCCTTCCCCATCTCTGCCAATTGAAATCCTTCAGGGCTGAGCTGAAGTACATCTCCTCGCTGCAGCCTCCCTAATTTACCTCCTCTCTCCAAGTAATGTCTCCCCGATCTGATTTCCCTAGTGCTCGACTTCCTTTGTCTTTATTATGTTGGGTCTTATTTGTGAACCTTTTATATTCCAGTGTTCCCCTCCTCTCCTTTCCCCTCCCCCAGTGGCATATTCATTCTCTGAGGGCAGGGGTTGTTAATCTTTTTCGTCTTTGTTTCATTGTGTCTAGCACAGTACTTTGATTTATTATAGGCACTTAAAATGTGGAGTGACTGAGTATTGTTGCCAGATTAAAACTCTTTCATTATGTTACCTGCAGTGGCTCCCTTTTGCCTGCTGCTAAATCAAGTCTTAGGATCATAGGGTTGGAGAAGTTGAATTCAAAGGTCTTTTCCAATTCTAAATCTATGATCCTATGAACACTTAATTTATTTCATTATGTACTAATAGTATTGTTTCATGTGTGTTAGTTTTCAGCCAGTTTTTAAACTCCTTGAGGGATAGCAGTTTTATCTCAGTTTTGTAGCTCCCATTTCCCTGCCCCCTCCAACCACAAGTTAATGACTAAAATTACTACCTGATTAATCTCTCCACCATCCTTCCTCTCTTCTTCCCCCAACCTTCCTTAATACATTTTTTATGGCAGTTGCTTAGATCTAGTTTATGGGTTCCTTAAGGGCAGGAATTGTGTTTTGATTCTTTTTGTCCCCATCATTTAGCACAGTGCTTGGCATATAGTAGGCACTTAATAAATGTTGATTGACTACTAAATTGTATTCCCCTTTTGCAGGTATTTTGGAGACCATTTGGGACAAACACAGTGTTACTGCTGCCACTCCACCACCGTCCCCGACTGCAGGAGAAAGTGGTATGGTTTGCAATACTATGATATCCTTTTGTTGTAAACTTAGTATCTTGGAGCAGTATCTTAGCCAGATCAGTCAAGATGGTAACTTCCTTGACTTTTTTTTTACATGTCTTTTCTAACTGCCTATAAGGAGCTATAACAAATGTATAGAATCATAGATTTAGATCCATAATGCTCTGTAGAGATTTATTCATTTTATAGATGTGGAACGCATGCATGTAGTCACTGACAGAGTCAAGATTCAAATTCAGATCTGCTTCCAAATACTGTAACAAAAACTTTTCTTCCTCTTAAATTACATCTAAAAAAAGTGTTCTCTTCCATTTTTTGCTCATTCTAAAAAAATGCATTTCATTTATTTTTGTTGTGAATTTTTAGTCCCAGTAGTTTGATACCTCTGGACTTTTGCTTCCTCCCTCAGTCATAGCATGCTACCTTTTCCTTGCTAAAGCCAGTAGGCTGTGAGATTGACAAGTCAGTTTTATAGCTCCGAATTGAAATTGCTCAGTAATTAGCCAGCTCACAGATTGCCACATTACAGTGCAGTATACTTTTATCCTGGCTCAGAGAACCAAAGATGGCCAAAGCAGATTAGAGCATTGTACAGTGTGATTTATTTTGTTTTTACTTAGACTCATATCAGTTTTGTGTTGCATATAATTTGAATAAAAACCTGTGCATTTTCAGTGGTGGTCAAATAATTCTAAGTTATGCTTATATTTGACAAGTAAAATTTTGACCATTTTCAAGGATGGGCAGAAAGAAGAAATTTTGTTTCTGAGCATTTCTTGTTTTTACACCAAGTGGTCACAAAAGCTTTTCAAGTACAGTAGTACATCCTGTGAATTGGCACTTCCTCTACAGTAAAACTTGAAGTGTTTTATTAGAATTATTTCTACATCTTTCCCATAAGGAAAAGGCCTGTTGAAATTAGACAGCTCTAGCTCAGATTGTTCAATTTAGTTTAACATTTGAAAAATTGAGTTGTGAGAAGTTTATGATAGAAAAAAAAATCTAACAGAGTTTTGTGAAGACTGCTTTTATTGCAGATACTTATTTACTCTTAACTCCATTTATCAAAGTGCCATTACATTGAAAAGAAGTTCGCTTTAGAGAATCTTAGATTATATTAAGAAGTTACAAGAAAGTTTTATACAGCCGTGATGAGCTTTTAATTTTAGGGTAGATATATACAACTTAAAAGATTCAGAAGATTGATTGATAGAATAAAAAATAAAATAGAAACATAGTTTTAAAAGTGACAATTTTGGTTTCTTTGGCACTTAAAGATGCCATTAAACTCTTCCTTTTTGTAGTTTGCAAAGGGAAATATTTTTGGTAGTTAGTGTGGTATGACTTTCAAACTATATGGATGCAAATTTTGTTATTAATATAATATTGGCTGTAGAAATTAACTTGATTAAAAGGTTTTTTTTAAATGAAAGAACTATATGTACTAGTTGCCTCCATTTAGTGTTATGTGCTGGTTACTAAGCAGCTATGTCCAAAGAAACCTGTTTTCCTTGTGACATACAAGAGAAAATTAATTTGTTACCACTTTTTGAATTTATGGTTGTGGGAAATGTTAAGTGTAAATATACAAGTAGACATTTCTGTATAGGCAAAATAAAGTCAAAATAGAAAATAGTAGATATATCATTTTTACTTAGAATTTGCTCCAAATCTTGAATTTAGCGCAATATAGTTTGAGGAACTGGTCTCAATAACAAGCCGAAGGAGTTATGTAATCCCACGACTTCTCTTCCTCCTTTTAAAAAAGGAAAAACAAAAAACTCATAACATTAATTTGTTATGATTTTTTTCCCCTTTTTTTAAACGCTTAAAAGGGGGAAGGAGTAACTTCTGCAGTATTTCCCAAAAGTAAGTCTTCCAGATGAGGTCATCAGACCTTGCTTCATTATTTGATTACAGTGTTGATGACTTAACATTGTCTTTCAAAAAAAAAAAAAAGAAGGATGTGCTCAATTAGTTGGGCATCTTTTGGTCTGTCAAAATCCTAAGTTAAGCTGTGTAACTTGGAGATTAAGTTCTTCTCCCACCATTGGCCCAATTGCAAAGGAAAGCTATGTGTTAATTTCTTTCATCTTAGATTAAGGATTCATATTCTGAGAAATACTTGTTATTTGTATGAATAAATTTAAGGGTGCTTTATTTTTCTTTCTTGTTGAATCGAATCCAATTTAATTGAACTGAACTTAATTGAACTAGAACTATGCCCTCTTATTGTAGTTTCTGAAAATACCACTGAAGTGTTGCCTAGAGTGCAAGTGATAATAACTTTCCTTTCCTGCCCCTCAGTCAGTCTCCATCTTTATTATTTATTCATTCATTCATTCATTCATTCATTTATTTTTTGTTTTCAGCATTCACTTCCATAAGATTTTGACTTTAGAATTTCTCCCTCTCCCTTCCCTCCTCCCTCCCAAGACAGTGTGCAATCTGATATAAGCTCTACACATACATTCCTATTAAACATATTTTCACATTAGTCATGTTGTAAAGAAGAATTAGAACCAATAGGAGGAACCACAAGAAAGAAGAAACAAAACAAAACAGGCAGAAAAAAAAGAGCAAATAGTATGCTTTGATTTGCATTCAGACTCCATAGTTCTTTCTCTGAATGTGGATAGCATTTTCCATCATGAGACTTTTGGAGATGTCTTAGATCCTTGCATTGCTGAGAAGGGCTAAGCCTATCAAAGTTAGTCATCACAGAGTGGGGCTGTTACTGCATACAGCGTTCTGCTCTCTTCACTCAGCATCAGTCCATACAAGTCTTTCTGGGTTTTTCTGAAGTCTGCTTTCTCATCATTTCTTACAGCACAATAATATTCCATTACATTCATATACCACAACTTGTTTAGCCCTGAATGGTACTTTAACAAAATTAGCAAATTTAATTTAATACCATATTTAACAGCTTGGCTCTCTATTTACCTGTTTAGATTCTGGTTTAGTTATATCAAATTTGGCTTCTGAGGTGCTTTATCTAATTTCTTGTCTATATTTTTTAAAAATAGTATCTAATCTTTCTGATTCTAAGTGTAGAATACAGGATGAAAACTGATCTGTGGAACTGAAGGAGGAGCCCTAGTCAGCCATTGATAAAACTGGCTGTAGCAGACGCAGGATGTGATAGGAGGAATATACTGTTTATTCATCAGGCCCTAGGAGGATTCCTTAAGTCTTTTCTTGCCAGAGACCTTCTGTGATCTCTTTGTTCGTCACAGCAGGTGGAAATCACAGAAAATGGAAACAGAGCCTACAATCTTTTAGATGAGGTGTCAGGTTGAGAAGAATAAAAACTGAGATACTTTTGGAAGATCAAAAATAAAAGAAGATGAGCTCCTCCTTACGGACACTTTACTGGCAGACAGTGGGTCTGGATCTATAACCATGATACTTTTCATTTCCATTTCCTCCCTTTAAATGATGGAGGAGTTTTATGACATCCAGCACACCTTTCATTTTTCCTGGTTTGATTCCTTTTGTTGTGGTCACTTTTGACATTTGCTTCTTGCTCTGAGATAGATTTCTCCCTTCCTGTTGGTAACGTTGTTTGCTTCAGAATGTCAAGATTTACCATTTCACTGGTTTGAGTATCCCTTTGCTGGTAGAGAGTCTTTCTGTGTTGATAGTCTTTGTGAGTTGTTATGACTGACAGTCATTTACCTAGTCATGCTTTTGGTGATTGAACTTCTCTGAACCTAGCTAGGCTGGTTCTGGCTAAGATACATATCCCGTCACAAGCATTGGACTTGAAACGTTTCTAGATTGGGGAGACAAGGGAACATTACTCTTCTTCTACTAAGAGTCATCAGACTAGGATTTAAGTGGGTGGCGATGTTTATTCTTTTTATATATTTGTGTTCTTTCTCCTCTAGGAAGCTACCTAGAAAGCAGTAGCAACTTAATTTTTTTTTAAAATTCCAAACTTAGACACCAAATAAAATGGGTATTTTCATAAACTGAACAGAAAGAAGACTATACATAAATCTGCAAATTTCTTATGTACTACTTGCTTTTCTTTTTAAATATGTAATACATTTGAGTGTAACTTTCACAGCTGTCCTATATATCTCTGATTTTTTTCTGGCCTTCTGTTCTCTTGACATTAAAATTTTTTTGTTTTATTTATTTTTTTCAGTATATCATTAAAATTGTTCTAGTTCTCCTCACTTCAGTCTGCATCAGTTCATGCAAATCTTTCCAGTTTTCTCACAAACTATACTTTACATCATTTCTTACAGCACAATAGTATTACATTATGTTTATATGGCATAATTTGTTTAGCTGCCCTCCAGTGCAGATTGTCTCCTTGTTTTCCACTTCTTTGCCACCACAGAAAGAGTGGCTAAATATTTTTGTACATTTGAGTCTTTTTCTTCTTTAACTGCATAAGTTTTTGTTTGTGCAAAATTGTTTTACTTTTGTGTAATCGAAACTTCATTTTATTTTTTGTGATCTTCTCTTTTGCTTTAGTCATGAACTCTTCTTCTGTCCATAGATTTGCAAGGTAATTTCTTCCCTACTCTTCTAATTTATTTCTGATATTACTTTTCTATGTGAGTCATTGATCCATTTGGAGCTCATCATGGACAGTAGCTCTTTGATGGGCCTGGGAAAACCAGGCGGAACTCATGTGTGGAAGCCATCCTGCTCTGAAGTAGGAGCTGTCTGTCTGCAAGACTTGATTTATGGCTATTTCTTGCTGTTTACAACAAAATAATTATATATTTATTGAGGGATTCCTCTTGGGCCAGCAACTTTTCTTTCTTTGTTGGCTCTTTTCTTAGCATCTACCTTACCATTTGTATTCTTATTTCTCTTTCAACCTCCATGCCTCACAATGCTGCCTTTCATCTCTGCATGTTACCATATTGAGGAACACAAAGGGAAAACATTGAAAGAGAAACCAGTGTAATTTTGCCAAAGTTGCATAGAAGTCATTTTTTTTTTAATTTAGAGCTGGTTATTTT